TATATTGAGTGTTAAATTTCATAACGAATTATGTTCATTTGCCAGTGTATTCAAAGATTTAGTAGCAGAATTAAATAAAAGGGGCGATGATATCGCATGTACAAGTGAAGAGTCAAATGAAGAAGATGGAATATTACAATTTGATAATAAATCAGAGTGTGATAATAAATGTAACAAGTACAATATGCATACAATTGGCATATGAATACATTTTAATTTTATCATTTACGCAGGTTAATTGCGAGAAAGCATTTAGTAAATTAAAAATTATAAAAATAAACTGAGAGCTAATATTGACCAAGAAAAATTAGAAGCGTTTTTAATGATGTCAGTTGAACGAGAACTATTAGCGTAGATTGAACTGTATATTTGCGCAAAGGTTCAAAGTTAATGAGAGATTTATTAACGTAAAAATTATATATTTTCTTAATTCTTTTATTAGAATCTTATTAATATTATGTACAATATGATCGGTGCCTGATTCTATAAAAGTGCAGCAATTTTATTCTCTGTAATATTGTATAACTGCATTAATTTTATATTTATAATTAATTGATTTAATATATTGAGTATGCATTTTTTTTATATTTAACTTGTGATGTATGATTTGATTTTATAGTGCAATATCGTTGTAAATCTAATATAAAATATATATTTTCAATTAATATTATTTTACATAGGTAATGAATATGATTTTAGATGTGCATTTTTTTAAAATAAAATATATGATTATAGTTTAATTCTAATCTTTTTTTTACTAAAAATGTAAAACGTTTGTACTTATTTTCAAAAAATAAGCAGTAATAAAAATCATGTAAATCAAAGAAGCCATTTAAAAGAACTCGGTGTATGGGGGCAAAACCCCCATATAAATGAGGCCGCTATAAAAAATGCCCACGAGGCCGTAGCGTTGCCAGTCCGTCCCTGGACTAATACACTAGTAAGGTCCTTTATTTGGCACCAATCATCTTCCGACAAAATGACTTCACATGCTCCTATAATAAAATCATTACAGAAATCTTTCAAACTTAATAATCGTTCTAGCCTCATACAAATTGAGGACCAACGTGTTGTGCATTATCATTTAAATTAAAATATTATTACTTGTATTACAAAATAATTCACTTTCAATAATCAACGTATTTCTATAACATAGCATATTAATAAATTTACATAATAAAATATTATTACACTGGAAAATAATTTATGATATCAATCTCTAAATAAAATGGAACAGGAAGAAAATTGGAAGAAAAACGCGCAGATAAAATAAATGATTCCGCAAAAAAAGTTAATAAAATTTAAAAAAATTTATATTATTTTTTAAAAAAATATTTTATTTTTAAAAATTTTTATGACACCTAGAACCCTTGGACCCTCCACTTTTAAAAAGGGTCCGGGTTCAGCCAAAATACGAGGGTTCAGGGTCCGGGTTCGAGTTCACATCCCTGGTATTTGTTAAATTTCGTTTTTATTTCTTTGATTCGGAGCCCTGTCAATATTTTTCTGACCAGCCCTATTTTTTACATTTATAGGCCCTCAATTTATAAATTTTAGAATGTAAATTAAAGAATGTTTCGCATATTGTATACGATAACAAATTTAGCTAAATGTTAGCTATTTTCCTAAAATTAAAATTTATCTATGCTATAATACATAAAACGCATTGAAATATATGCAGTGTCAGTCCCAAAATAAGGCCTCTACCGCAGGGACTTATACGCCCTTTAAGCCAATGAATATATAACACCTCGACTCTCCTCTTTCACCATGCCCTCTTTTAATCCTCTTCGACCTCCTACCAAATAGCAAAAAAGAAATTAAATCATTAGCAGACCGTACATTAGCTTACTCTCTTTTACCCCCTATCAACTTACTATCCTTCGACGAATATCATTATACCCCTACCATGATAAAAGTTGTTATCCCTCCTCATAGTTGCAGCTCTGAATAAAAATACATATTAATAAACTAATTAATTAGGTAAACAGAGGAAAAGAGAAAAACCAAGTAAATTATAATGTGTAAAAGAGGAACTATTTTAAAATGGAATGTTAAATTCGGATGGATAAAATAGGTGGAGAAGGATTAAACTGAAGGATTAGTGATAAGAACATTGTATTTCGACAGTGAATCGGCGAGGCTTTAAAATTACTTTTAAGAATCCGAGCATAATTATCTGCCTTAAATAAAAGACCCCCTTCCTAGATTTATCAATGACTAACTTTAAAAAAGTTCTTAAAAAGGAAAGATATAATGTTTTTAACTATCATAATTGTATAAGATTATTTATTCATAAATGTCATAGGGATTCATTTACATATATTAAGATAACATTTTTATCAATATAGTTTTAAATAATAAAACCGAAAAATTCAATGAGCTACTTTTAGAAAATCAAAAAAAAAGGTCAATATATTCTATAGATAAAATTTAAATAAGATAGATATGAAATATTTATTTAATTTTTTTTACTTTGAAAGGTTAAAACTATTACCAATGATTTTTGCAAGAAATTTAGAACAATTCAAAGAACACTGTTCGAAAATATTTAAAATATTATGTAGAAAAGTATTTTGATTATATTAACTATAATAAGATAAAAAAAATTTTGATATTTTTCTAATCAAAAGAAACAATATTAAAAATTAGTTAAGAATTCTCAGTGTAACAATTGAATGACGGTTTTTTTTTCTTCTACCCACTTTTATCTATACAACCACCTGTTAGCGTGTTAACAATCTGACATTTAAAAAAATAAGATAAAACCTAATTTTATGGACAGGAGCCCGAACTTAATGCCTATTTTATAAAAACTACACTTTTCCATTTATTTAATTAGAAATTTTTTTAATTAATGTTTTTGCACTCTGGATGATCCTACACGTATTCATAGTTGGTCCACCCATATAATAAAGGTTTAAATAATAATTGGTATTATAATAAGTCTATAAATTTTTTACAAAAGAGGAAATAAAAAGTTTACTATTTTTGCATATTTTAGGAAAAACTAAAATGGCCGTGGACGTTTCTGGTATAAACCATGACCACGCCCTCTAACTTGAAAAATACTATTCAGAATCACATTAATTCATGTTTTACAACTTTTAAAAGTTTTCATATTTATAAAATAGGGTAAACTTTACTATAATTTTATTTATAAATTTAAACGTTAAAATATACAATTATATTTTCTGTGCTACTTCTGAAATGTAAAAACATATTTCTCTCGGTAAAAATTAAAATGCTAAAGATTTTCCAAATCTTCGTTAGCCGATAATGATGACATAATTAATTATATTAGCATTTTTCAACTGTTTTTCAATATGAGCTTTTATTTTAATTGGAGTGAAATGACGTGCCCCATTAACCAACGTGCTTTGGTCCCCTAATTTATATCTTTATGTGCATAAAATAATTAGGGCAAAATATATTATACATTTATCCCTGACGTCAATTATACCAAGGCAGAAAAATATAAATTGAGTATAATGAAGAAATTTTAAATTAATAATTAGAGATTCATCTCATAATTTTGAATAAATTTTATATTGACCTGTATTATTCTTGATTTTTGGCTTATTAATACTTAAAATATCAATATCAGAGGCCTGCAGGTTAAGTTAATCTGGTCTGAATAGTCTCGATTAAGCTAAGGGTACTCGATAATTTAAAACCACAAGCCAGGCCAAAAAATGAAAAAAAATACAAACCTGAGTCAGTCATAACCGAATTATATTTATCAGCTTAATGATTTTTAATTGTGTCAATTAACGAGCTGAAAAACACGACGGATGCTTTAAATATGTTATTCTTCTCATATTTTAAAATAAGACTTGAAATAAAAAACAACCAAAATGACCAAAAATAATAGAGATTTCTAGCCATAAAAAAATAGCAATATTTTATAAATCCATACCTGACTGTGCGAATTTTTTTTTACGAGGCGGGGCTGATGAGGTAAATTAACATTATACAAACCGAGCTTATAAATGATGTGCAAATTTAGCTTTATATATGATTTATTTTATGAATGAATATATTTAATTACTCAAATTTAGAGTTTGACATTAGAATATTTTCTGGCGTTGTTAAAATCTGCGATTTACGGGATATTTAAAAAATGGCGAAATCAAGATTTTAGTCAACATTGCCTAAACCTCGAGATTTCTCCAAAGGATGGCAGATAGGTTTGACTCTCTTTTGGCTAAATAACAAAGCGTAAGTAATATTGGTTTGAAAAAATCTTGATTCCACCATTTTTAAAAATGGGCTAGATCGAGGTTTTTAATCAAGGATTAAAATAGAACCGAACCGTTAAACCGGTTTTATAATCTTGACTTTTTAAAAACCTAAACCCAATCTGAAACGTTGAAAATTTTGTCAAACGAACCTCTAATAAAAATATCCTGTGAACCGTTTTGGATATCCTAACCAGGGTTATGCATTTGACAGGTCAAATACAATTCGATTAATTGACCGATATTTGACGGTCAAATACGATCAAATTCAAATAAATGTGTTTTACGCCAATATTATTATTATCTATATATATAATATATTTAAAAAATGAATCTATGTAATATTGTATTTCATAATATTTTTTTAATTCATTCCCTAGTTAATGTTTCGGTCTCCCTGGCAGAGTCTTGTTCCGATTCATATTTAATAACATTATTTTCTTTAATATTTTTAATAAATCTTAAATTATGATATATTCTTAGCAATTTTCCTGTTGTAGAAGTCTTTAATCGATTTCTGTTTTTCGTATGAATATTATCCCAAACCGACCAATTTCTTTCTAAGAACTAGGAAATATTAGTAAAATATTAGCACTTCTCTTAATTATCAAAGCGCATTCCACCAACTTGAGGCCTAAATCTGATTGTTTCTAATGGAAGTTAGCGCTTTCCACATGTGGCTATTAAATATGCCGCTTTTACTTCTGAAATTTATTATATCATTTAAAATATTTTAATTATCATCACCTTGTAAAATACCTTATTTTGTATTATATCACATGCTTCATCAAATTTAGTACTAGTAAGATATTCCCCTTGATGTTGGGGGTCAAATAAATAAGCAGCATTGTGAGCACATGTATTTAGATCATTTTTTCTCTTTTTAAACATAATTTTTATTTTTATATAGTCAAAATAGAGAAATATAGAATCATGGCATGTTTATATTATGTGTTTTTCCAAATTAAGCATCTCATTTTTTGCGCCAAAGTACATTTATCCCCTTGCACTTACAACAATTAAGTAGCTAAAGGTTGGAGCATAGCTAAAAAATTTTAATTTTTTTCCAAAATATTTCTCATTTAATATATTATTGGTAATTTCTATGAGACAAATATCACATACAGCTTCTTCAACAACTGATGCTTTCAGAGCTTTCTTACATATTTGTATTTGCTCCATACATTATATTGACGATGCTCATCTTGTTTGGCTAATTGTACTTAATGTAGGTATACATGCTGATTCTTATGGTAAAATACTGCAGTTGGTATGTGTTTATTCTTGATAAATTTAACAATTTTTTTAATTATTGAAATATGGTAACTGAAGTCGTTCAATCGTTCAAAATCGTGAAAGAATAGCTGCAATTTATGCGCTGCACAATCATAGAATTGTATATGATTATAAGTAGATTCAGATTTTAGAATTCTCCAGGGTGCTTTCATGTTAGCGGCATTACCAGTAACTAATAAATATACTCTTACTGGATTCAATTCATGAATTACATTTTAAAATTCCTGGGCTTAATATGCCGTATGGCGATTTCTCAGTATTTAAAAATTTGTAGAATACTGGAACAGGCGTCATCACCATATAATTAATAATACTCTCGTTTTTGATGTTACTCAAGCCATCTGATATAATTGATAAATAAGGAGCTTTATCTATTATATCTGCTGACTCTCGCCTCTATATCTGCTGACTCTTTGTCTTGAAGATATCCAGCCAGCTGCCTTCGTCTGGGTAAAGTGTAAATAGAACGTTATCTTTTAACTTGGATGTAGGAATTTGCAGTGATGTGGAAAGGTAAATTGCTCACATATACAGCCTTTGCATACATTTGATCGTGCTCATTTTTTTCTTTGGGATTCATTCTATCTATGAAACCTGTTATACAAGATTGAGATTTACATTTAATCCTTGACTGTAGATTGATCAGAGTTCATGGAATCAAATTTTCCTCAGTCACAAGACAAAATAGCCAATTTGATAATAATTCTCGCTAATTTCACCAAATTCTTTATTAGCGCTATTACAAATTACATTTGTGTGATTTTCTCGAGGTTCATATTTTGGAATTTGAATAAAATTTTTCATTAATTATGACAGGGCACATAGTACAGCTGATTAAATAAATGCTTGACCATTCTATCAACGTGGGTAATATAGGATATCTTGCAAAACCTGCATACCGCTTTAACTGATTTACCATCGCGTACTTCTTGAAAATGTTTCCAACTTGATGCTTTGGTTTAACTATAATCTCGAATATATAAAAATTTAACTATAAAAGATTTTGAATATTGTAAAGTTAATCAATCTTAATTATTTTATAATTATCGATCAATTATTTCAATAATTTGGCTTAATATTATATAAAATATAATATAAGATATAACTTTTTACCAGAATTGAATAAATTATTTTGTAAATCTGACCAGAACAACTAATAAGAAAATTAATTTATATATCAAATGTAGCAAGTGGAAGTAAAAGAAATGAGAATTAATATAATTTATACTCGGCTAAATATTAAATAAATTTAAATTTATTATAAAATAAACCATGATTTAGCTAAATTATATTTATATATTTTGGTAATAAAAAAAATTCTTTTGCTTTTATATTATAAAATTTTTATATAAAATTATAATTAAAACGATTCTTCATGACACAAATATATTTTTATATAAATTGTCTAATAAGATTGATAAACATGCTTTTAATGCATACTAGTATTTGCCGGCCAAATACTCCTCCGGTACCGACATGACAGCCCTGCATAACTCTTTTAAAAACTATCAATAATCAATTTTTGATTGTCAGGAACTATTTTTATATTTTGATATTTGACTCAGCCACCCAAATTGGCGTAAAAATTGTCCTCACCCATAGAGTTTATTCTTTCTCTTTATAGACATCATATTTTGAAGAAGAGTAGAATACGGCCTGGTTCAATATAATAGTTATGAAATTTTTAAAATATGTTCTTCACTTTCACTTTACATAACTTATAAATTGGTATACCAAAAGGTTAGATCAAAGGTCCGAGCCGATATTATTATTTTTACCAAACGAACCTGAACCGTTATTTTTATTTGAACCTGAACCGAACCTATATTCGTGATGGTTCGGTATTCAACAACAATAATATTATATAGCAGATATAGTATACTCTGCCTCAATAAAAAAAACCTTCATGCGCATTATTATATCTAAAATTAAATAAAAGAATAAAGGCGTTAATTTTTTCTAAAATGAGGTTTTAGGAAGTTATGGCACAATAAATTATTTATATCAAAAACTTTGAAACATTTATTTTCCTCTAGCCATTTCAGAGTTATGGCAAGATTAAAAAATTAGACGTCATTCTATAAATGAACGACCACACATTATATCTAATAGTATAATAATATATTTTAGCAAATCAATCTACAGTTTGATTGCTTTTAAAAATCATTTGATATTATAATAATAATAATACTTAAATAATACCAAACTTTAACCTTTTTCTATGTTCCTTCTTTTGGTTTCTAATGATTGGCGGAAAGCGATGAAAGGTCTTTACTCAGAGATTAGCTATTGATGCACATGCGAAAAATGGAATCGCAAATTTATAGATGCAGGTGCTTTTCAAGATATTATTCGAAGACAAATAGCATAGTTATATATTCTTGAGAGTTTCGAGGGAAATCGAGAAAAATATGAATTTATCAACAAGTTTTAAATAAATAAGAATAAAAAAAACTTAAAAGCTTCGGAGATATCCCAATAGTGTATTTGTCTCTCAAGATTCTCTCAAAATTTACTTGTAAAAGAAGTATTCATAAACTGGATTATGAATTTTATAAGGTAAAAATATTAGTTTATTATTTTGCTTTTTAAAATCCCTAAGACTAATAACAGCCTTCAAAAAAATTCGATTTAATTGAATCTTGGAAATAGAGAAGTGGGATCAAGTAAAATATAGTGCGATTCGGGACCTCGCATAAATGATATCATAAGAATATTTTATTTTAGTCGTCAAAATATAATGGTTTGTTGGTGTTTTAGATAAATTTAAAAAATTTCCAACCGATTTAAAAAATTCGGGAATAATTCCTAAACTATAGACACAGAGTTATATATTTTATTTGAAATTAATCTTCAACTCGTTGTAACAATTAGCATGTATACCTCTGTTGGTTGATTTATACATCTCTCTATTTCCACAGTTAGGTAACGCACAATTCCTTTAAATGTTGTTAAACGACTCGATTTGAGCCGATTTTTAAAAAGGGTTAACTCAATTTTTAGCCGGAAAAATATTTCCTAAGTATCGAGATTTCGCTAATAGATATCCAATCATTGTGCCACCTATGAGCAAAATCTTCTGGCTTATTCTTCTAGATAAAATATAGTATTTGAGTGGAAGAGCGATGATGTTTTGTGATCCACGAGATTATTTTGACCCTTAAAAGCTTAATCTTATTTAGTAAAATTAAAATATATCTTGATATTTTAAATATGATACTTGTATCTCTATCTAAAATACATTTTTTTAAATAAAGAATTTATATCCGTATCTTAATTCCTATATAAAGGACCTGTCCAACTCTAAGCACACTCCTATCGCAGGCATATCTAGAATTTCTGTGGGAATTTTTCTATAAATTTTTTCGGAGATTATGCCTAATATACTTTTTCTTAAAATGGGGTGGGGGTACTTCTGTGAGAGTTTTTCCATAAATTTTTTCGGAGATTAGGCCTATTATATTTTTTCTTAAAATAATTTTTTCATTTTTTAAAAAAATATTAAAATGCCTTTTTTTCTAAAAATTTTGAATTTATACTTAAATCGTTATTTATAGTGACATATTATACATTATTTAGGATAAGAGGGTAGGGGCAGTATAGAGGGATAATTTTTATTAGCAACTGATTTTTTCAGTCAAATTTACTAGGGAGGAAACGTTTCGTGCCCCTCCTCACTTGACTATGACTCCAACACTAAAGCGATTACGCTTCCTCTTATCAATCATGTTGTTGACCTTGATATCCCTTTCTAATAAATAATTATCTATTGTTTCCATCATATAAGAACTAACCTTATTTACAATAATTTGCTAGTTTTTATATGCTATTTATACCTGACTGACAATCAATTCAACATCGTCATTTCCGTCTATAGGCGTTCTTCTTCGATTTCCTTATAGCATGAATCTCGGATCGATATATAAGTGTAGACTTTATAAACTGACTTACATAACATTGTCCTTAATTCTATATTTTATTCAATAGTTTATCTTAATACTATTATACCCAAATCTAGCAAACTCATCTATCCAGAATTCATCCTTACTTTTATTTCCTCTCTGTTTATATAATAGAAAATAATATTAAAAGTAACACACCAGGATTTACAACCCCCTCCCCCCACCCATTTTGGATAACTACTAGGCCTCGTATAAAATCTCGAAATGTATTTTATATAATTTTTATATCTATTTTAAATATAGTCTGGAATGATTTCGATAATATTGTGCCACAGGTTGAACTGGACTGATTTCTTAAATATTTCGCCATAAGTTAATTTTAATTTTTAAAAATTATTTTGCACAAATGCATGTAAATCCAGTTATAAAATTTCTTAACGAACCAGAAATTTAAGAATCAGAGAAAAGTGTAAATAAATCACTAAAAGAGGGAAAGGATTATAATTTATAGCACGTCGCATAAGGAAATTGAAAGAATAATTTTGAGACAGCGCAATACCATTATTATATTTATTGATTATTTGAGATTTTTTTGTCAACACACGAAATAAAATTATATGATAATAAATTTATAATAATAATTGATTTTTTTTATTTAAGAGAATATTTTTAGAAAAAATTATTCATTTGATTATCACACTGACTTGAATAAAAGAATAGCTTCGTTATCCACATAAAAATACAGGAAATTTCCAGCTTCGTGAGCTACAAAACTGCCAAAATTTTTGCCCACCACACAATGCCAAGTTGGACTATGAACTCTAAAAAAATTTTTGATTATAATTAATAGATAAAAAAACAGTTATTTATATTTAATATATCTTAATACTTATGGGATAGGAGGACTCGAAAAGCCGAGCAAATAATAGATAAGGGTTTCTGCATGATCATGATTTAAAATAAATGTTTATACTACTTTATAACCATTCTTTTTAAGATTTTAGCCAAAATAATATTATGTGAGCCTGGAGATTTTGCTCATAGTTAAAACTGAAATGCTAATAATAATAAAATCTTTAAACGCTCTTAATAATAATAAATCCTCGGAAAAAGTATTGAATGCTCAGATTAAAAACTGAATTACTAACAAAATTAAAATGGTCAGAATAATATATATGAAAGCTCAGAATTTGCTTAATTAGGAAAATAAATTGCTATAAATCAAATTATATTTAAAATAGGAGACATAACTATCCCCTCCCAATGCATCTCTAACAAACAAAAAAGGTTTGAGCTATTAATTTTTACTTTATAAATATTGAAGTATAATTAAGATGAGGGCGATGGCGCAATATAAATTACAATGTATTCCTTTTCAAACATTTCTTTCAGAGCTATGATATAAATATTTTCCATGATTATAAACTTTATGGAAAGCAATTTTTAATATTTAAACCTCCAAATTTGTTTTATGATGACTTTTCCATTTTTTTTGAAAAAAATTGTTAAAAATAGCGAGCAGCATATCGGGTTAAAACCTGCCCATTGCAGATCGCATTTAATTTCATATTTATAAATTAATGTTAAAACCTAATTAATTCTTATGCCTCAAAGAATATCGTCAATTTTTAAATATGATGCAACTCAATTTTAAAACAAGTGGTCGGTTATTATTTTT